TAGGTGCATGCCTGATTTCACTAGGAGGTCTCCCTGGGGCTTCTATGACTGGTGGGAAATACAGGGCCGGCCTCTACCCGTCTGTGCTCTCAGCCTACCCTCAGCAGACCCTTTGCTCCTGGCAGCTGCCTGAGATGCCTGGGTTTTCACACCCCCTTGCCTCAGCTCTCTGTTCTGTGCTCAGGGTAACCATGGCACTGCTTAGGAGATCTAGACTCCTACTCTAATGATTAGTCTTGTCATTAGTATTTGTTCACCTTCAAATAAGGGGCCATTGCTGTGAATTGCTGAGGAACACACACAGCAGGCTGACCAACCAGTATGAAGCAAGGTGCTAGCAAGAGCCCAGGACAGAGCAACGCAGTCATCCAGTGTCTCAGAGACACTGTACAAAATCCAGCCCTGACTGGACTTGATTCACAGGGTGTAGTAACTGCCTTCAACATTGTGTTAAGTGAGGTCATTGTAAAACCAGAACTGTTCTGTGACACGTCATCTCCTTGCAGAAATGCACTCATTGATTGAAGAATTAACGGTCTACAGCGAGATTTTCTTAAAATAGTAGTTGACAAACACTGTGTGCATTAGGCTAACCAGTGCTGTTTGGATTAAGTTCAACTAAAAATGCCTCTGCATTGGGAGACTGAGGTGGGTGGATCGCTTGAGCTCAGGAGTGTGACATCAGTCTGGGCAACATGGCCAAACCCCATCTTTACAAAAAATACAAAAATTAGCCTGGTGTGGTGGTGTGCACCTGTAGTCCCAGCTACTTGGGAGGCTAAGGTGGGAGGATGGCTTAAGCCCAGGAGGCAGAGGCTGCAATGAGCCGAGATCACACCACTGTACTCCAGCCTGGGCGACAGAGTGAGACTCTGTCTTAAAAACAAACAAACAAAAAAGAATGAAGAAGCAAGCAGATCAGACACTGCTGATAGCTGCTCTCAGAGCTAGGTCTGAGCATCACCTCTCCATGCATAGTAGCCACCCGGGAGCCCCGCTTACCCTCCTTTCTAGTTAGCATTTCTAATTATTTCTAGTTAGTATTAACTGTTGTTCACCCGGAGCACGGTGGCTCATGCCTATAATCCCAGCACGTTGGGAGGCTGAGGCAGGCAGATCAGGAGGTCAGGAGTTCAAGATCAGTTTGGCCAACATAGTGAAACCCCGTCTCTATTAAAAATACAAAAAAAAAAAGTTACACAGGCGTGGTGGCAGGCGCCTGTAGTCCCAGCTATTCGGGAGGCTGACACAGGAGAATCGCTTGAACCAGGGAGGTAGAGGTTGCAGTGAGCCAGGATTGCACTCCTGCACTCCAGCCTGGGCGACAGAGCAAGACACCATCTCAAAATAAATAAATAAATAAATAAAATTTTTTAAAATGCTTATTCAAAATATGACAACCTTCTAGCATCATTTGTCTCATGGTCCTCAAACTACTTAAAATAAATTTTTGGCAAATATATTTTCTTTATCAGCGAATGCTCAGACCTCAAAACTGTTTTGTCACAATTAGAGTTCTTTATTTTTAAAATGTTCGGTAGTGTCTATGCTTGATCCTAAATACCTCCCATTTCCCTAACTTTTTAAATGTTAAAAGATGGATTTCTGTATCCTCAATATTTGTTCTTGAGAATGTTGGATATTACATTTTTTTACTTTTTACATGAAATTAGTTTTTATATGTAAAACAGTATTTTGGGCTTTCTCCATTTAATTCAGTGAATCTCTACTGGGCAAGTTTTCTTGGCTGAAGAGATAAAAAGTATTAGTCTGCATATGTTACAGTGTTTAGCAAGACATCTTAAAGAAGAAAGCTCCTTTATATTGTCCTGTGATTTAAAAAAATTTATATACATTTTTTATGGTGGTGAAAAACACATAACATCAAATTTACCATCTTAACCATTTTTAGGTGTGCTGTTCAGTAAAGTATATTTACATTGTCATGAACAAATCTCCAGAACTTTTTCCTTTTCTCAAGCTGAAATTCTATACCCATTAAACAACTCCCCTCAGCTTCTTCCCCCAGCCTCTGAAAACATCCTTTGTTCTGTTTCTGTGAATTTGACTACTCTAAGTGCCTCATATAATTGGAGTCATTCAGTGTCCATCCTTTTATGACAGGCTTGTGTCACTTAGCATCATGTCCTCAAGGTTTATCCATGTTGTAGCATGTGACATGAACCCCTTACTTGTTAAGACTGAGTAATATTTCATTCTGTGAAATACTTTGTTTATCCATTTATTCATCAACAGACATTTGGGTTTCTTCTGTCTTTTGGCTACTGTGAGTAGCGCTGCAATGAACACGGGCATGCAAATGTCTCTTCAAGACCCTGATTTGAGTTCTTTTCGATATAGACCCAGTAGTGGGATTGCTGGATCCTATGGTAGTTCTGTTTTTAATATTTTGAGGAACCTCTGTGCTGTTTTTCATTGCGGCTGTACTATTGTACAGCCCCATCAGCAGTGTACAAGGGTTCTAGTTTCTTCACATCCTTGTCAACACTTGTTATTATCTGTTTGTTTGTTGTTACTGTTTTGATAGTAGCCATCCTTATGGGTGTGAGGTGATATCTCATGTGGTTTTGATGTTCAATTTGCTGATCATTAGTGATGTTGAACATCTTTTTATATACCTGTCAGCCATGTGAGATATTTCTCCAAAGACATTTCTTTGGAGAAATGTCTATTCAAGTCCCTTGCCCATTTTTAAATTAGGTTGTTTGATTTTTTTTATTGATGAGTTTATAGGAATTCTTTATATATATTATGGATGTTAACCCTTTATCAGACATATGATTTGCAGATATCTTCTTCCATTCCATAGGAACGTTTGTGTCCTTTGATGCACAAAATTTTAAATTTAATGTAGTCCCGTTTGTCAATTTTTGCTCTTGTTGCCTATGGTTTTGGTGTCATATCTAATAAATCACTGCCAAATCTAATGTCATGAAGCTTTTCCTCTACATTTTCTTCCAGGAGTTTTATAGTTTTAGGTCTTACTTTTAGGTATTAATCTGTTGCATGTGGATGTTCAGTTTCTCCAACATTCCTTAAAGAGAATGTTCTTTCCTCCCTGAATGGACTTGGTACCTTGTGGAAAGTCATTGACCGTATACACAAGAGTTTACTTCTGGGCTATCTTGTCTATTCTACTAGTCTAGTTGTCTGTCTTGATTGTTGTTGCATTGTATTATGTTTTGAAATTAGGAAGCCCTTGAAGTTTTTTTGTTTTTTTTTACTTCATAAATCCCAAAATGAGTAATTTTATTAATATCTAGTGGGAGTCACTGTATTACATATCCTTTGGAAAGATTGTCATCTTCAAGTGAAAGTAGAATGTTGAGCAATTTCTGAATGTATCTGGACATTTGCGTTAACTTACCTAGTTTCAAATGCAAATTTTGCCTCTACCATAAATTATACAGATTTGCTACTACATTATCCAGTTTCACAAAATAATTGCATCTACTTCTTGTCCTCTCTAGACTTGTTCTTATATTACTGTTTTTGTCTAGAAAAATATATGTGAAAAAAGAAATTCACTTGAATTCTCACAATCTAGAAATAGTCACTGTTAATATTTAGTATGTAATATCCTCCCAAACTCTTTTCATTGCAAATATATACACATAACTATTTTTATCTATATTGGTAAGCAGTCTGAGAAAATTGATACAAAAGTGTGTGCCTGCACAAAATGGAATCATATTATATACATTTCTTTGTTTTCATTTAATGATATTTTATGAATTTTAAAAAATGTGTATAGTAGGTTTTCATCATCATTTTTAAAGGCCACCTGGTATTCCATTGCCTTGGGTCTACCCTGCTGGGTTATTTCTATTGGTGGACATCAGGATTGTGCCTAATTAGCTTTTTCTCTTTTTTAAACAATGCTGTGATTGTATTCTTACACATACAGCTTTACCCAGTTGATTTCTTTAGGATCAGTTTCTAAATATGAAATTACTAGATAAGAAGTGTAAACTATGTTATTGAATTCTAGAGGCAGATTGCTAAATTGCCCTCCTAAAAGTGTCAGTTTATGTTCCCACAGGCAATATATGCATATACCTATTGACCTATACCCACACCGGCACCTTCCCAATTTTCTAAGTAAAAAAATGATATATTTTCATTTTAACTTGAAAGTACTTGATTAATAATGAAGTTAAACATTTTTTTCAATTAAAAAATTAATTGCATCTGGCTTTTCAGTTTAATTATGAAAATTTAAAGTTACGAAACATTCTTTTGGGAATGGAGATTCTTTGCTTGATTTTTAATTATAGTGTTCATTTCCACCATCATGATTTTTACCTTACAGACTGAAGGTATGGACAAATACTATAATTAGGACAATTTTTCAATCTTTGTTTGCCCCTTACCTATACTGGTGATGCTGTATTTATTTTTGCCCTTCAGGGGTCTTTAAAAATCTCTCTCTCTCTCTCTCTCTCTGTCTCTCTCTCGTGTGTGTGTGTGTGTGTGTGTGTGTGTGTGTGTGGTTGCTATTAATCTCTTCCACTCTGATTTCTTGTTACGCCTAGAAAGACATTCCCATATCAAGATTATATGAGTATCTCTCTACATTTTTCCATTGCTTTTATGGTTTTTTTGTTTTGTTTTTTTTTTGGTGTCTGAATTCCAAATGCCAAAAACTAGTTCTTTATTCATTTATAAGGTGTTTTGTAGTTTAAGTTGCAATAGAAATGCTGAAGACCACTGACTTGATATTCCCCAACCTGCACCCCCCACCCCCAATATAGAAGAAGTGCACTGAGGAGCATCTGCAAAGTTTCGCTTAAGGGAATTGATATTTCTTAAGTGTTTGCTGCTTCGTCTCCAAAAATGTGTCTACGTAAGATACTATTGTTTAAGCCTCCGTGTCCTTTTAACCATTGAACTGGTAATCAAGACTGCTGGTTATTTATGACCACAACTGTAAGCTTAGATGAAAGAGCTAACGAGGAGTATTTTCCTTCCTCTTCTAGATTTTACAGGAAGACAAAACTTGTTGGCTTTCAAGACATGGAGTGTGTGCCTTGTGGAGACCCTCCCCCTCCTTACGAACCGCACTGTGAGTAAATGCGACACAGGCAGAGCCAAGGGCACACCTGGCCTTTTGAAAAAGTTTAAATTTGTAAACCTTCTACTCTGGCCAATGGAGCCAAATCTGTCTCTCCTGTGGTGTGTACAGCGTGTCCTCTTTTATCAGGCCTTTGGCAGGACAGAAGGCCCCTTTGTTGTATGCCTCAGTCAGCACACAGGGCCCAGGGATTTGAATCTCAGAGTGGATTACAAGACATTTTGCCACTGCTCTGCTGCATTTGAAGTCTTCCCTGGTATCGTGGGTCTGGAATTCAGGTGACTGCGATTAACCAGGCAGCCTACTCATAGGTCTTCATGCCCTGGCCCCGTAAATCCTGCATTTTCCTTTCCTAGTCCCCAGGCTAGATCATGTGGTGGCATCTCTGCCTTCTCAGAAAAGTTCCTCTCTGTGAGTCTCCTGCCCTCAGTGTGTGTCACTAAATGGAACTTAGTTCACTTCATCCATTCCTTCTTTTCTCTCCTTCAACAAATAAATAAGAAAAGAGAACTCATCGCGTGCTGGGGATACAGCTGTACATGAGAAAGTTCTGGTTTTTCCTCTTTATGTTACATTAGTTACTCCTTTTGACGATGTATATTGCATAGATATCAAAGCATCAGTTTTGAAGAGGAAGAAGAGTGGCCTCTCACTCTTTAATCCGAGATACAAGCCTGGCCAGTGAAAACCCACAGGAAGGGTACCGGTGAGCAGTGCCCACGTTGCAGGACACACTCGTCTGTGCCACAGCAGGGCTCAAGTGAGCTGCACTTCACCGTGCACAGGAGAGTGAAGGGCAGGCAGGAGGACGGAGGAGGCTGCTTTATCTCACACACAGGTCACTCATGCCTTTCTGGGGAGCACTGTTTTGATGTCATTTCCAATGCATGGGCTCTGTCCTCCTGCTTCTTGCTATGATAAAAGTCCCCTCTGAACTAACTGAAAGTCAGTGCATCATTTGATAAGGTCGCATAGTTCTTCTCTTTCCAAAAGTGTCATGGAATTTTGCAGTCCATATTAGTATGTCCTTTACCAAAATGCATTACTTTCTATTCTTCATTGGAAATGTTAGAAAAGCAAAAGAAATTGGAAGACTTTCCTTCCTTCCTTCCTTCCTTCCTTCCTTCCTTCCTTCCTTCCTTCCTTCCTTCCTTCCTTCCTTCCTTCCTTTCTTTTCTTCCTTCTTTGTGATTCTCCTGCCTCAGCCTCCCGAGTAGCTGGGACTACAGGCGTGTGCCACCACACCCAGCTAATTTTTCTATTTTTACTAGAGACGGGGTTTCACCATCTTGGCCAGGATGGTCTCTATCTCTTGACCTCGTGATCCACCGGCCTCAGCCTCCCAAAGTGCTGGGATTACAGGCTTGAGCCACCATGCCCAGCCAATTTTCTAACTTTTATAGAAAATGTATATTGGCCGGGCGCAGTGGCTCACGTCTGTAATCCCAGCACTTTGGGAGGCCGAGGCGGGTGGATCACGAGGCCAAGAGATCGAGACCATCCTGGTCAACATGGTGAAACCCTTCTCTACTAAAAATACAAAAAATTAGCTGGGCATGGTGGCGCGTGCCTGTAATCCCAGCTACTCAGGAGGCTGAGGCAGGAGAATTGCCTGAACCCAGGAGGCAGAGGTTGCGGTGAGCCGAGATCCTGCCATTGCACTCCAGCCTGGGTAACGAGCAAAACTCCGCCTCAAAATTAAAAAAAAAAAAAAAAGTATATTGATCTTCATTTTTATAACAGGCAAACGTTCACCAAATAATTCATTGCAAATAACAAATGCAATACTGAATGCCTATTATCAGTCACAATGCATGTGCTTTACTTATTTTGTTTTACTTACTTTTCTCAATAATCCTACGATCGGTCCAGATTTTTCAATGAGAACACTAGCGCAGAGGGGTTAGTCCTGTTACGTTGTTGGCTGCTAAATGCCAGATACAGAATATCAGTTCCCCTAACTAACCCTTTCTGCCACAATCTTCAGTCTCCCTAAGCTCCCTAAGAAAAACCAAGCTATCTAATCTGTCCGACACATTGACTCTTTCTCATGTTGTTTGCTTTAATATTCGTAATTTTTAAAAAACACTAAAATCTAACATGGAAGGGACACTGGAAGAGTGTCTTTATGCAACTCCACAACCCATCAAAGGACAAGTTCTCTTGCCAGTTTAACGTGCAGTGACCTGGTCTCGCCTGTGGGTCAGCCCAGCCATCATTCTCTCAGAAAGGCGAGTTAAAATCATGCACTGCAGCGCAGACTGCTGCACAGAGATTCCGCGAAGTCAGTATTGCCCCTTTAGAGTCAGAAAGTCTTAGGGTTTTTTTCCCCTTTAATTTATTGAACTTAAATTTAATGCAATCAAGTCAAAACTCTGAAGCTTTGGGATTTTCTGCCTTCGGGGTTCTGGCTAAGCTCAGATATCACAAATTTGCTTTTGAAGGTAGATCTCACATGTAACTTTTAGTGTCTTATAAAATCATTAGCAATTTACTGTTGTGTTAAGTCCTTAATACTTTAACAAGAAAATTAACCAGTGTGTGTGTGTGTGTGTGTGTTTCTTCATATATGAAATTTTTTAGAAAGCTAGGAAAAATAAGCTATTTGTCAAAGTAAGAAATGCAGTGTGCACAGCTGATAGCCTTTCAAATCCCAAAGCAAGACAGGCTCATCGTCTTCAGTGAGCATGAGTCCTTATCTCTGTAAAACAAAGTTTGCTGCCTTTGGCACAGTTCTTGGCAATAATTCCAGAACACAACTAATTTCCTCAAAAGAGATTTTGAAGGCTTTTGGGAAAATTACATGAGGCGCCTTGTGTTTTCATTTCTTCTACTGTGGGCTTTTTTAGCTCATCCACAAAGAGCTACTGCTTCAGTGATTTTTTTCTCCCTTCGAGGAGTTCCTGTGCTAGACTCTCAACTAAAAGAAAGTGACACCTCTTAAGCTAACTTAAGGAATGGGGTTTGTTTCAAGGGCATGCCTTGTAGTGGGAGAGGCAGGAACTCTCTGTCAACCAAGAGCCCTCCCTCAGGGTCCCAAGTGGCTCCGAGTCTGGGGGCACACTGAACCTCTGCAGAACGAGACCCTGTGTGCTGCATGCTCTACAGCTGCTCTCTGGGCCTGCGGGCTTGCCTGTCTGTCCTAACCTAAATGGTCTCTTTGCTCTGGATTTTCCCATTTCTGTCAGGTGCCCCAGGGACCACGCCAGTGCCACACCAGTCTGTGGCTGGAGACCTGAGCTCACCTCCCCGAGGGCTAGGTCTTCCCTTGTGACATGGAGTGGTACCTGCCTGCTAAGGAACAGACCCAGCCACCTGCTGTGGTTGTGTTGCCAGAAGTGTTGGATTCACACCTTGGCTGTGCTTTGTACTGATGGTGTAACCTTAGGCAAATAATCTCCCCCACTTCGAACCTCTGATTACTCTGGAAAATGCACAGGTCTGCAGATTTTGGATAGAATTAATGAACTAGTGTCCAGCAACATGATACCTACCCCCGGGGCAAGCTCTGTAATGACTGTCTACCTGCTGGCCTGCCTTTTTCAAACCATGACCCTGCCTGCCCTCAGCCATGCCCTGACCCGGATGTGCTCTTCGGAGGGAGTCGTCTCGGACAGGGAGGATCTCATGGTGCATCTGGCTCTAATAGTTGTCTTGCTGGGGCTTCACCTCCCCTGGTGGGTGAGCACTGAAGGGTCCCAGAAAGGGGGTGCCATGGAGTTTTATGCCTGAGAAGCTCAGATGGGGGCTGGGTGCAGTGGCTCATGCCTGTAATTATAGCACTTTGGGAGGCTGAGGTGGGAGGATCACTTGAACCCAGGAGTTCAAGACCAGCCTGGGCAACATAGTGAGACACCATCTCCACAAAAAATAAAAAATTAGCTAGGGATGGTGGCGTGTAGCTTTGGTTCTAGCTACTTGGGAGGCTGGGGTGGGAGGACTGCTTGAGCCCAGGAGGAAGAGGCAGCAGTGAGCTGTGATTGTGCCACTGCACTCCAGCCTGAACGACAGAGTGAGACCCTGTCTCAAAAAAAAAAAAAAAAGGAAAAGAAAAAAAGAAGCTCAGATGGCTAGACTGAAGGCTGAAGAGACCCAAGTTAGGCCAGTCTCCTCTGCATCTTGATCTGAGGCCTCCGGCCCGACCCCTACCAGATGATCTCTAAGCCCCTCCTTGCCAATAACAATGGATTTGTGATGATAATCAGTTAATCCTCCCATAGCCCCTCTGTCTGTGCACTAATAGCATTAATGTGTGATACTGACTGGCTGAGCACGGAGCTCAGGATTGATGAGTGACACGCCTGTAAATTGCAGATAAATAAAAGACACCCGTTACATAGAAATGCCAGCCGCAGGCCTTCTTCCCCCAAGTAACTTCAGTTCCTAATCACCTGTGCCCACTTAGAACTTCAAGGAGAAGTAGAAAAAAACACTAAGTTTAGAACTGTATCCTGGCTTCAGTCTGATAAGAAATACAGATTTAGTATGATTTCTTTTAGCAATGTTTATTTTATTTGGAACAAATACTATGGCTGGAACAAATGGTTTTGAAAAAATTCAAAGCGGTTTTCACCAGAGTACAACTTTATTTAAGTATGTTTAACCTAGATGTTTGCTTTGTTCTCTGGGGCTTTGTAAAACAAGCCACGTGATTCTGGAGAGATAAGGGGTCAGATAAATCACTGTGTGGGGGAAAAGAAAGCCTAGGCTGGGCTGACCCGCAACTGGTAGGAAATGTATGTGGCTCCATAGTCTTCAAAGACAGCAAGCAATTGTTTGCACCAATAAGTGATAAGTCACATTATTAAAAGTTTATTATTTTCCAAAGGAAGTTTAAAGTATATTTTATGTAACAAAGGGTAATTTCAAAATAAACTTTTAAAAGAAGTATTTCCTCATTAAAGATAATTCTTAACATTTAGTAGAAAAAAGTGAGGGGTGCAAGGGGACTCCAGTAGACCCCCAAACAAAGCACTCGCAGCATTGATCAT